TTTTAGCTCCTTATCGCTAATTGGAGAAGTTTCGCTATTATCGCTCCTAATATCGATTTCGTTATGGCATTCAGTATATTTCATTTCATGGACCGGTTTCTTATCGCACGAAATGTCCAACAAGCTCGCTGCAGAACTGACTTCAGACACCTGAAAATGTTTGTTGACAGATTCAGCGTTATCCTCATTGACGATCGCTGTGCTTTTCAAATTTCTTTTGTCTATGGATGGCAGATCTCCTTCGTTCGAAGCCAATTTGATTTTGCCATCGAGATGTTCTAAATGTTGGAGAATAAATTTATCAATTCGCATTGACAATTGATTCTTGAAGACGCGATGTTTCAAATCCGAAAACTCTGCTTCAACCGATGAGGACGTTGCTATTTTTGAACCTTTCCCGAAATGAGGCCGCATAATGCCAGTCCAAAGTGGCAGATATGGAAGTAGCTGCTTTTTGAAGCGATGAGCAAAATCGGGATTGAAACAGGCGTTGATTATTCTTCCAGTTTTGGATTTGTTGCTGATCTCTTGCGCCTTACTGTATATCGTATTCGTCCACGTGTTCCAATCGGAAGCAATGGAATCGTTTTCTGGATCGTCACTTTCACTGTCCTCATCTTCATTACCTTTTTCGGCACGCTCATTTTCTCCCTCCAAAGTAACTCCCTGAATAGTCTCATTGAGGACCTGCATACATATTTCAGCTGGCACAGCTATCCCGTCATATGTATTTCCAATAAATTCACTCAAAGAGACTGCGAGCATTGATTCAATAAAATACGTTAACGTCTCGAAATCATGCATCTGATATGCTTGCGATACACAATGTAAATACAATCGTCGCGCCGCGGCTACTTTCGTTTTCAGGCACTTCCATCGGGATACCATAGCAATCAAATGACTGACATCGAGTCTTAGGTATGACGCTGGTATCACAGAAGAATCTTTTACAACAGCATTATAGCATATTTGTAAATAATTTGACAAATCATTGCATCTTCCAAATACTTCCGCCACAGCGTTCACCAAAGCGCGCCCGAAATCGCACACGACTATAGGGGGACGGAGCACACCTTTCGACAAAATTAATCTTAGAAAATTCGCTATTTGAAAGGATCTTTGGTCAGCGGATACCATCTGAAAGACTGGTACACTGCCTTCTTCAGTCACCAACATACATTGATACAAAAATACGTGCGGGTCGTGCTTCGAATCTCGTTTCGATATACCTCCCGTTGCATCGAGAGTCATGATGGCGTGTGGATCTTTTTTACATCGGGCCATATAAATTTGTTGCTGTTCTAATGTCCAATATATGCAGTTAAATTTGAGCAAACCGATATTGCGTATAGATCCGGCGTATTTTCCGTATTTGGTGTGGTGAAGCAGATTCATTGGTGGATTTGCAAATTGCAACCCGTATATCTTAAGCAATTGCTGTTCCTTTGCTTTGCGTAGAACAGCAGCACTCGGTATGATTGGCAGATCTTTTCCGCCAAACTTCTTCATTCGTTTTGCTTCGTCTCGCCTGAAAGTTACTGCATCTTTTCTCTGTTCTATTAATTTATTCGCAACATTTTCTCGGCGTTGGCCACGCAGTTGTCTTTTTTTCTTGCCTGTGTGAAAATCAGGGCAAATATTTTCTATGTAACATAAAAAAATTACGTCGACATCTTTCATTGGCGCATTCTCCAACCGACCGGTTATTTTTGCTTTACACTCAGTGCAGTAACCAATAAATTTAGCGTATGTCTCGGCAGATCGGGGGGTAACTAAATTATTTTTGAAAGAAAACACGCAGTCTATTTCGCTATACTGTTGGCATATTCTTTCGGCGATCACATCAGCCCATCCTTCTTTCAATTTCCAGTATATTCGCCCACTGGAAAGTTTCTTCTGAAGGCTAATTTGAAGCCATTGTTTTGGTGAGAGAATTAATCTTATTTTTTTTGAATGTGCATGCACTGATGCATTGTAACTCGTGTTTGTACTTAAATCGGTGCCGATAGAATTAATAGTGTTGTGTTGTTCGTTTTGCCCTGTATTGATCTTAAACGTTGTTGTAATAAGCGTCTTGAATCCATTGCGATTCTTATTAACAATCGTATGTACGTGGTGTGGTTCTATGTGTGAACCACGCAGTGCCATACGATTAGCAATAAGACGATAAACTCGATTCGACCGAGGCAAGACCTTACCCTTCTCAGTGAGAGTTCGACAATCACTCTGCATCAAAATTTCTTCAAGTATACATTTATCGTAAGGCATTTTGATTATGTATAGTAAGATCCACCTAAAACAATATGTAGTTACGTCTGCATGTACTTATAACCGTATTTGTCATAAGCCTAAGCTGGGCTCTTTGATAAAAGGAGTATGCTAACTAGCGGATAATGTGGAGAAAAAAATTGCCTAATCTAGTGAGATACGACAATATATACATCGGCGAGAGTAGCGGGATCGGACGAAAACTCGTCCGTTTCGCGCAGGTCTCCCACCACGTCGTATCTAAAGAGCACGCCACGCTTTTCTTTCCACTTTATTCGCCTATGCGCAGAACTCTGTAGAGAACGCTTGTACGGAGCGGAGTATAGTAGAGATGGCGCTATAGTCAAGGCATTGAAATGTAAGGTCGAAACAAGTCAGGGTACCACTCTTTAGAAAATTGTTTATTACGTTCAGAACTGCACGAAAAATATTTTACAGTGACTAGAACTCTCAAATATCGACCAGCATCTCACTTTTATCTGTCTTAAAATGCATTTTCGGGCAGTAAAAATTTTTTTAAAAATAATACAACATCGCTAGTGCCTAGAACTCTTTAGAAAATTGTTCATTACATTCAGAGCTGTACGAAAAATATTTTACAGTGACTAGAACTCTCAAATATCGACCAGCATCTCACTTTTATCTGTCTTAAAATGCATTTTCGGGCAGTAAATATTTTTATAAAAATAATACAACATCGCTAGTGCCTAGAACTCTTTAGAAAATTGTTCATTACATTCAGAGCTGTACGAAAAATATTTTACAGTGACTAGAACTCTCGAATATCGACCAGCATCTCACTTTTATCTGTCTTAAAATGCATTTTTGGGCAATAAAATTTTTTTTTTTAATAATACAACATCACTAGTGCCTAAAACTCTTTAGAAAATGCTCAAGTATGTCCAGAACTATACCAAAAATATTATATATAAATCGAAACTCTGAAATTTTGTGTAGTATCTCACTTTGCGATGATAAATTTCTTTTATTATAGTTTTTTTTGCCTGAACTCTTGACAACTCATGCCCAGGATGTTGAACTCGTCGGAATATAGCTCCCTAACGCTGAAAGATTTGAAATTCGATGAGATGCTGTCAAGCCATACGAGAAGTTCGCATCTCATTTCTTTAGAGCGTGATTTTGTGTAAATCAATTGTGAACTATTGTTTTAAAACTTATCAGAACTCCTAGAACTATGCCGGATGCAAGTAGATTTGAAGAGTATGCGTGAGATGCTAACAATTGAGATGCTAGGTTCACACCGGTAGATAAAGACCGCTGGAAGAGCTCGAGACCATACCAAAAAGCGCATATCAAAAGTGCTTCGAGGATTGGAAAAAGCGCTGGCACAAGTGTATAATATCTGAGGGGGATTACTTTGAAGGGGACAAAATAGATATTGATGAATAAATAAATATTTTTCGAGAAAAATAAAAAGTCACCTCTTTTTTAAACACACCTCGTACATTACAATTTTTTTACAGCGGAAGGGCTAGTATAAACATTTGGATAGAGAGCATCTAAATTTGTTAAGAGAGCCGTGAAAAAAATCAATTCGATTAGATATTTCGTTAGACAATAGGCATATTCGGTTAAGGGGTTTAAATCTGCCATAGGAGATACGGTGCGACTCCTCATGAAAGATAGAGTTAACTCTCAATGATTTGACAGGGGCGTGCAGTCCAATACGGCCAGTAAGATCAGGACAGGTTATATACCCATTAATTAATTTAAAGAGAAGTAGGATATCAAAAAATCTCCTTCTATTTTCCAGTGTTTCGAGATTAAGCAAATTCATTATTCAAACATAATTATGGTCCGAATAGTGCATAGGATTGTCCGTGAGAAAACTGACTCTCCGAAGAAAGCGGTGTTGAATGCTTTCAATCATTAAGCAATACTATGTTTGATATGGAGCCCACACCGTAACAGCATATTTAAGGTGTGGTCTAACCAAAGCGCAAAACAGTAACCTTAGTGTGGAGATATTGGGATCTGACATTCGTAGTCATGACATCTGGTGGCGAAAAATAAAAGTAGTAGAAGTCCACTGTTTGCATAGCATTTACTGCTATTTTATTAATTAATGAATTATTATTATGGATTGCGGGATATTTTCTCCGCGTTCTAAAAGCTTAAATACAGATAAAGTAGTAAAGCTAACCACATCACTCTTGCAGTTTTGTATATTTTTACCGCATTTAATTATATGCCCTGCTTGAAATATCCTTTCACCCTCAAGGAATTTTCTTTGGGCTGGATTTGTACCAGCCCAATGACAAATGCTTTGTATACTAATTAACATAATCAATAAAATATCACATTGTTTCATAACAACACTATATTAAGCATGGGCTTCTCGGCACCATGTTGATGACGTATGCATATAGGCTCCGCCCCCATGTCAGATCCCAATTATGAAAATATTTACATGAACGCATGAAGCCTAGTTTTCTGTATGCACGATTCACCAATGTCTGAATATGGAGTTCAAAAAACAGGTTCGAGCAAAAGATAACCCCCAGGTCACGAATGGAGTCAGCCGAGAGGGACTCCGTTTAAAAAATACACGTGCTTGTTTACATATCTTTTGCGGGTGAAGTGAATCACTTGGCATTTAGTTAAGTTAAAGCGCAAGCCATTTTCAGAATATCAATGATCAAGTAGATATCGGTAGAGATCAGACTGCAGAAGCCGCGCATCATCGGAGGTTGTAACACGGCCGAAAATTTTCAAGTCGTCTGCGTATAACAGAAAATTACAGTTCTCAAATACATTCTTAATATCATTAATAAATATATTAAATAAGAGCGGTCCCAAGTGCGAGCCTTGAGGCACCCCCGAAGAAGCAAGAATGGTCCGAGAAAAGCAATTATTAAACTTAGCAACCTGCAGTCTATCCGTCACAAAATCCGATAACCATTTCAACCATAATCCGCCGATCCCAAATGCCTGCAATTTGCGTAATAATACGGCGTGATCAACGTTGTCAAAAGCTTTCCGAAAGTTAGTGTATACCGCATCAATTTGTGAGCTCTCCTCAACGGCAGAAATTATAAAGTCATGGTAAATAAGTAGATTGGTTACAGTAGAGCGATCAGCCACAAAGCCGTGTTGCTCATCGATTAATGCATTTTTTGACAGCGCCGAGAGTTTTCCGGCAACAATGTTCTCGAAAATCTTTGGCATCGGGTTTTGTTTGCTTATCGATCTGTAGTTGGAGACTAAAGACCTATCACCATCTTTAAATACTGGAGTGACAATGGACAATTTCCACAAGCTCGGAAAAATACCGCACGACAAAGACTTCTCAAAAATCAACCAGAACATTCTCGACATTACAAGGTTACATGATGTAAGAAAAACTGGAGGAATGCCATCCACACCCGGGGCAAAACCGTCATGCAGAGAATTAATGCTATTAAAAATGTCACCTATAGTGACATCGATGTTTAATATATTTAAGTCATGATTGTACCTCGACTTTCCAATACTGCTCCCATTACCAAGTGATTACACGGATTCAAAAAAGTTCGCAAAACAATTGGCAATCGCGGTACCGTCTTCAATAACACGGCCATTATGACAAATAAAAGGTGTTGACGACTTAAACAAGGACATGGAACTAATAAAGTTCCAAAATACTTTCACATTGCTAGAAATTGCATGTTCTGATCTCCGAATATAAACCTTCCAGCACTTCGACGAGAGAGAATTGCATCTGGCTCTTAACTGAGAGAATGCAAGATAGTCCGAGTAGCGTTGCGTGTTTTTAAATTTATAATGAGCGAATTTCTTTTCTTTAGTAAGAATTATTAGATCTTTAGAAAACCAGGCGGGATAAGTCGATCTTCGCGGCAAGTATCTTGGAACAAAAGCAGTAATTGCGTAATCGAGGTGAGTAGGTATATAGGGGGAGTTCTAACCCAGGTCCTCTCAGGGGGGGTGAGGCGCGCGGGGGATTACGGAGGCGCGGGGGAATGACGTCACGCGGGACGGAGGGGATTTCGGCGGCGGCGCGTGTTAGATGTTTTATCGCAATATTGTATTACATGCCCGATTGATAAAATATTTATAAACAATATAAACAGCGGTACTCCTTAAGCAATATTGTATTATATATCCTAACGCGTTGGAACATGTTTTTGCAAAACAAAATGGCTCTCGCGGTACACCCCACCCCCACCCCACCCCCTCGCCTCCAATATAGGTACCCACCCCCACCCCCACTCCCTCACCCCCGATATAAGTAACTCTAGATTTTTTTCCGTTCAACGTATCCTTGTCTCTCTCTCATTGAATTACGCAGCATGCACATTTATAAACAATATAAACAAATGGTATCTCCCTGAATCGTCTTCCGCAATTTTTTCTCGGAAGGAATGCAATGCATATCAGCGCAGATGTTCGGCTGCTTTGTACCCTTGCTTCCACCGCTCGTATATCAGCGCCGATGTTCGGCTGCTTTGCGTTTTCGCGGTACATCCCTCACCCTTGATATAAGTAATTCTAGATTTTTTCCCGTTCGACGTATGCTTATCTCTCTCATTGAATTACGCAGCATGAGAATTTGTAAACAATATAAACAAATGACACCTCCCAGAATCGTCCTCCGTAATTTTTTCTCGGAAGGAATGCAACGCGTATGAGCGCCGATGTTCGGCTGCTTTGCACCCTTGCTTTCGTGGTACACCCCTTACCCCCGATATAAGTAATTCTAGATTTTTTTCCGTTCGACGTATCCTTATCTCTCTCTCATTGAATTATACATCATGCGAATTTATAAACAATATAAACAAATGGCACCTGCCAGAATCGTCCTCCGTAATTTTTTCTCGGAAGAATTTTTAACGTATCAGCGCCGATGTTCAACCGTTTTATAAACGCAAGCAAACGCAAAAAAAGTACACCACGATATAGTAAACTTAAAACTCTTTATTCATGTTTTTACATATTTTTTTGTCTTACGTATTATATGGATTAAAAGCTAAAGCCGCCAGCTCGCAATCGACGAGTTGATGCTTGTTGGAAGCGTCACTCGTGCGTATTACATTCGATACTTCTTTAGGATCCGTTACAGCGGACGCGATATTGGAGAATTGCGTAAATTTGACATCGACTGTTTGGATAATTTTATCTAATCGATCAAAAGTTACATCTATGCAATCATCCAAATCGAACATACGATGTAACGTCGATTCTACTATCATCATGCATATGTTCGAAGATTCGAGACTTATGAGTTTAGCGTCGTTAATCGTACGAACTCGCACTGTTAGCGGTCCAACGCTTATAAAATTATACATGTCGTGAGAGTCGTTCCGAAGGAGATTTAGAATATCGCGACGTTGCTCGCAGAGTCCCTTCCATGTTTCGAGAGATAATATCAGTCCCTTTCCCCGATGATCTCCTATGATAATCTCCACGTAACTCGGCGGACCCACGTTGATACAGATTTCGAGGAATTTGAATTCCGTAGCTGTCAATGCGTATCGTCTGCCTAGTATACGAACCGCACGACGCTCCGACGAAATGCTACGGGAAAAATTAAAATTAAGTAATACTAATAATACAATTTGTAAAAAATAGAAAAATAGAAAAATGTTAAACGAAACTTGCTCGTCGTATTTGTTCTCAAATGATGGAGTTTTATCACGACTCGGCACATAATTATTCATGTGTCTTCCGATACCGCCACTGCTGCTACCGCTGCTGCTTCTTTCAACGTAGTACATTTCTCTGGGAGGTTATGAAAAGTGAATCCACGAGCGGTTAACGCGACACTGATCGTACAGGAATTAATCGGTTATACCCGACGCTCATTTATTAAAAATATAATGTAGTGGTGGGGGATCAATGTTTCTAACGCATTGGAATTTAGGAGAAGGGGGAGGCGGTGCTCGAACAAAAGAATTCTTAGAAACGCATGCAAAAGATTAGGGTGGGGTAAATAAGAGATAACGCATATGAATGTTTACATATTTTATTTTTATCGCAATTCTTTCTGGCGTCGCGACCACCAGTTAAATATTTTGAATACATTTTGTAAGGCGCAATTCTTAACATGTTTTCCACATCGCATACTATTCGTATCGTCTAATTTATTTAGAGCATCGATATCTTCGTAATCCGCATCCAAGGTTTCAATAATACAGCCGTTCCCCGCATCGTCTAGTATATCGGCCAACCATTTTCGCTTTTCAAGTCCTTTGACGTACACGACGGACGATTCTTCTTCTTCTTCTTCGTGTATCGTACCAACGACAGCTGTTGTAATCGCACGCTGAGCCAAGCCATACGGAACGTTTCCGTCTTCCCATTGTAATCCGTGATGATTTCTAATCAGCCATGAGACTTGACATCGCTCAGATTTTGTAAGCGTGTGCCACGGTACGGGACTTGCGAAAAAGTAATGTGATAGAACGTATCCCTTTCTCAAGATTGCCGCTTCCTTCACGACAAAATTTTTCCCAACGATAAATCCTTGCAGATCCACAAACGTTGGTACGGGCATGACGAGATCTCTCTCTCTCTTCAATACGCCTGTCGAGAGGAACGGCAAAACTCTAAAACCATCTCGCAAGACTTTGATTTATATCATGCTCCTCTTCCCCCTCTCTCTTGCGTCGATGTTATCGCAAACACTTAGGTGATTTTGCGTACAATGTTGGTCAACGGATTGTACTGGATCACGCGATCGTGTATGATGAGACAGTACGCAGTGGTATTCGGCGGCACGTTCTCCTTACACTCGAATTCCAATCTCACATCCACGGTCGCGCTCTTGACCGATTCGTTTTGTCGAGAACAATCGATAATCACGAACGGACCGTAAAGTTGAAACATCCCGACGGAGAGACTCGGCTCGAGATACTCGTATCCGTAATAATTCTTGCAGAAGCGCATATACGTGTCGTACAGAATGGAATATCTGTTTTTATCGAAATCCAGATTCATATCATCGTACGGATAATATTCCGAATTCAGATAAAGTTTAACGTTGACCAATTTACAGTGGTCGAATTCCCTCGCATCCTTAGACATGACATTCTTTCGACCTGCCTGCAAAGCGAAAACGACATATCGTGGTTTCTCCAGCTGAGTCGCGGTCTTAATGGCCCACGAATGCTTGGTTGTAAGCTGCAATAGCGGATACTCGTACAGATCCCACGAGCGAAAAGCCATGCTAAGATATCGTCCGCTTTCCAGAGCACGGAGCATCGACAACTTTTTGATTTCGCTCAACAGCACGTGAGGCATTCGCCATTGTATCTTGAATATGTCGTGCTCAGGCTCCTGCGCCGAATTTCCATGCAGACAATTGTCGTCATTGCGCGATCGTATCAAGATCAATTCGTGACGAGCGTTAATCACCACGCGTCTGTAATCCTCTCAAAATCCCAGCAACATGTAAAGCGGTACGCAAAAATTGAAATATCCATTCGCGTTGGTCGACGGCTCCCAGCCGGCGTTTTTCATAAGCACGCTTCTATCGGATGATACCGTTACATAGTTTTTGAGCGTAATAGTTATTCCTACGTTTCTATTGCGATCAATCTCAACGCCATCGAGTTCGTATCGAATCTCGTCGAACATGAATGCGACGCAATTATTTCCCAGTACCAATTCACTTTCTCCTTCAGCTGCTGGTTTGTGTTTCGTTAGTCGTCCCTCGATGTATAGGAAACTCTCGTGCGGCAGCGTATACAGATCCTGTTGTTGTATGGGTATTCTTATCTCGCCATTGTGTCCGAACGTTGTATTGGCGAACGGGTTGTACGTGTGAGTCTCGACCTTGACGATACGATCGTCAAAGATAGGTTCGTCACCGATGTTGAGAATGTCGGTCATCGTTCAGCTGTTTCGCACCGCGAATCCCAAAGATTGCAAAAACGCAACGTTCGATGCGCTGAGTTTCTTTTTCTCGGATGATTGGATATTAGCGAACGTCGACGTTGATGTTGTTGGTATCGCTGATTTCGTAAAGATTGCGTTATCTCTCGCGTCTTTCGATCCGTTCAACACGAGCATCTCATACGTCGCATACGTACGTACGTTATCGCCGCAGCCGTCGTACGTGCAATCTTACGGTGATCTTTTCTCCTCGAAAATCGAGCAATCGTCCGTTCCGGTCGACAACGCGTAACGTTAAATCTGTAATGCTCCGCGCGATGATCAGAAGGTAAATGATCTGCCGGCGTTTCCGATATCTTATATCCCGGCGGTACCCTCGGTGAAAATTCGTGTATCGTATGAACGAGTTTGCCGTTGTTGTACGCGCCCGCGGTCACGTTACATTCTACGCGGATAATATTAACGTTGATAATGTTAATCGGCATGTTCGATTCGTACCATTTTCCCGGCTCGAGAATACGATTCGAGAATCCTAGCAGCCATCCAATGTTGTCGGGTTTGCTAAAGTTTAATCTGTATGCGCATTTGATCTCGCTTCTCATTGTATTGTAATTAGCGCGGAGCACTATCGGATATTCGCCATCTTCGTAGTCATCGCCGTCAATGTGTTTCTTATCGCGATGTTTCCGTGAAATTGCACGTTTCAAAAATTCATGTATATCTCGCA